GAGGGGGGGGGGGGGGGGGGGGGGGAGGGGATGGAGGCTCGGTGGCCCTTGTCTTGCTTTCCCGGATGGTTGACTAGTGTGGTAGTGCGGCAGCAAAAAAGAGAAACACGGTGCTGTTTAGAGCGGCTGACGTAGGGGTAATGACCAGTAGGAGAGTAGTTTTGCGTAAGTGAGTATGCAAAGCACAAGAGGCAGCGAAGCTTTTTGCGGGTCTCGAGTGCCACCAAAGTTGAGATATATTCCCTAGACCTGGGTCAGCGGGTGGGGCAATGGGTGGCATGCAAGCGTGCGTGCCTGTGTTTCGTGAAGACAGCTCAATGGCTCCGTAAAGCGGGTACAGCTGGAGGCGCTTGCTGGATACGGGACGACGCGAAGGCACAAGTCGAGGCTCTAGGACTACACGGGATGCCATCTCCGTGGTCAACTCGGACGCCGATCCGGGCAGACAGGCTTGGACGACGAGACAGTCAGGACTTGTCGAAGCCTCATGTTCCAGAAGATGATCGGTTCGTGCCTAAAGTGCCAGCGGTCCACAACGCTTCTCCCAAAACGCCCATGGCAGGCGTCTTCGGCGAGATTTCAGCAGGGGTCGACCTGCATGTGGGAATTGAAGGCTTTTCGTTACCGCCTGTCGCCCCGGCCAAGACATGGCATGGCATGGCAGGTGCCGGCTGCAAGGCGAGCATTCTACGGAATGGGAATGTGTCAGCCAACAGCGCAGGTCGCGCGGCCAGGCGAGAGGCGGATGGCGCGGTGCTTGTGTCAGTCCAGGGGCGGCGGGAGAGCGGGTGCGTGGGCAGGTTTTGGATCAACTGAGCATGGTGGCAGTGGTTCAGCGGAGGAGCCCAGCCACAGCAGCAGTGGCCGTGGCCGTGGCCGTGGCCGTGGCAGTAGCAGCAGAGTTCCAACGGCGGGTGCGCCACAGACGTCAAGCCACCGAGCCCCACCCGTGTCACCCCGACGTAATGCAATGTCACGCTGAGATTGGCGGCCCCGGTGGCGCCCATCCCCCATCAGCCATTCCATAATAGACTGGACGCATGCGCATGCGCAAGACTTCTGCGTCTTTGAGCCCGCCGTGGACTGGCCCTGCGCAGTGCCGATGCAGATGCAGATGCAGATGCAAGTGCCAGAATAGGCTTTTGGGCTCGCACCGCTGGCCGAGGCGATCCCTGGCCCTACCAGTGCCAGTGCCAGTGCCAGTGCCGACCAAGTAACTATGTAGGGACTAGAGTACCCAAGTACTGTGTAGTGTACATACATACTATGTACACAGATGCATACATGAATACTACACGTGTAGTATATGTGGCTATGTACATGGTGTACGCACACTATAACTGTAACTGCTACACATGTATGCTTGTCTACTAACGTACTACTACCTGATACTACATAGACAAGTGCTACATAGTAGTTACATGGTCGTCTGGCCGAACGTGTTTCCCCACGTTTGGCCTGTCCGCCCCCGTCCCGAGCGCCCCACTGCCATGCTATACCATGCCCTGTCGTAACCATGCCTTGCCATGCCAACTTCTCTCCTAATTTCTAGTACATAGTACTACACACACTAGTAGCCGTCCACGCCTGCTCACACGGCATCAAGACTACTGGTCCACGGCTCAGCCTGGTCCCGAGGCGGTGACCAAGCCCTACCTGCTAGGGCAGAAGGGGCCCCAAGTGTGCCTCCAACTGCCGAACCGCTCGTCTAGACCGGCACGGCGCTGCTTGTTGCCACGTCGAGCTGACTCTGCCCGTCGCCTAGCACGCGCGCATCCGGAGCCCTACGAGGCGTTCGCCGCATGTCTCAAGCACAGCTGCCATGTTTCTGATACACACCTTGGCACGTCCTATTCTCCGCCCGCCAGACCACCAATCTCAGCCTGCCTCGGCACCTTCCACCATGCGCCACTCGGCCCTGTCTGCAAGCTTCCCTGTTGACTTTTCCCTATTCCCTCACTTCTCGCCTCTTCCCTCGTCCCTCGTCCCTTGTCCCTCGTCGCCTGTTGTGGCCTGCCGTTGAATATTGATTACCTGCGCGTGTGCTCCTTGGCTGCATCTGCCGCCTCAACCTGCCACCACGTCAGGCAAAAAGGACCCTTACGCAGTCACGATCTGCGAAGTTGATCGCTTGTTGATCATCCATGATTGCGCGGCCCCCCTGGCCGCCCGGCAGTCTCCGTCTCAGGAAGCCAGCCGAGAGGGGCTTTTCGAGAAGGGCGAAGGGCGAAGGGCAAGACCAACTTGGTCGAGTAAAACACCCCATCTGCAAAGACTGTCCGTCGTCTGCAACACAGGCCCGAATCATGGCCCCCTGCCTATTCTCAAATCGACCATGGTTTCCCGAAATGCGCCGTTGGCAGCACACTAACACTTCCCTTCCCCCTAACTCTCTTGCCTTGGTTCTCCTAGCGCAGCCGATCGACGCCTTGTCAAAGTCCAATTGGACATGTTCCACTACCAGTCTTGCGCGCGCTTGCAAAATCCCCAAAAGCTTGGTGGTCCGGCGGTGCAGGGAGAATGCCGCAAAGGCGAAATGTGTGTTGAACATTGGTGGCGACCTGCCGACGCGTCCACCAGACGGCATTTGTGCCATGTCGGCGAACGCTCTTACAGCCGCCTAGAAAAGGCATCAATCGACAAAAATGATCGGCAAAAGGATTCAACGCGGTTGCCCCTGCAATATCCGCACCTTTTTTCCACGCATCGTCCTCTTGCCTCACGCACCCCACCCCACGGCATGCCACCGCGGTATTCGACAGTTTCCATGCCCGCCTCGCGTGATGGCCTCATTTCCGCTCCCGTCCCATGACAAATATCTTGGTAATCACGCCAGGCGCAGCAGCGTGCCTCACAAGGTGAGACCTGTCTTACACTACACACCACCGGGTTGAAGTTGCTACTGTGCAATGACCCGACCGAGTGGCTCAATGAACCCCCAAACCTTAACTCGACCACCTCCACTCAACCACTCGGAAAATACGAGGCAACCACCATCCACCATGTCTCTTCCAGAACCAGGGACCATTGCTTGCACTTGCTACCCTGCTTACATCCGACCGCTAGTCCAAATGCATGATACGGTACGTCTAGGCGAAACGTTGTGCAAATCATTAAACATGCTATAGGGCTGAGATTTTGAGAGCCCAGTCTTCTGACATGACACGCACACCACCAATGCCTATTTGTTTGACTTCTAGATGTTGTATGTACTATGCAGTGGACTTTGTGTGTTGTTCCGCCATGTACTTGCAAAAAACCCTCTGGATGTGTTTGGCTGCTTGGAACCATTGCAGCTAGCGTGGTAAACTGCCTCGGTACACTCTTTGCATGGTGAACGACAAGACCGAGGTCGCGAACAGGGTTATTGTACTAGGGATCTATCTCGCCCAGCCTCTAGTTTCCAGCCTGTTTCCTTACTTTTTTTGCTCGTTGCCATTACCACGCTCTACGAGGCATCTGTCACAACTCTAATCCACACGTGATCATCAACCATGGCATCGGCGGAACAAGATGTCCGGCTCCAAGACTTTGCCAACATCTTCAGCCTCAAAGGCAAAGTCGCCGTCGTCAGCGGCGGCTCGCGAGGGCTAGGGCTCCACGCAGCATCAGGGTGTGTACCATGCATACCTTTTGCACGCATCCAACAATAAACCTCACGATGCCACGATAAACAAACAATCACCGATAAAGAAAAAACTAACTGTTTCCCGTAAATATCAAAAGACTCATGCAAGCCGGCTGCTCTAAGATTTTCATCACCTCGCGCAAGGCCTCGGCATGCGACGCGGCCGCGGCCGCCCTCAACGCCCTGCCAAACAAATTTCCGGGCGCAAAAGCCTACTCCGTTCCCGCCGATAGTTCCAAAGTCTCCGAGATCGTCCGGCTGGTGGGCGAGATAGCCAAGCACACCGATCACGTGGACATTCTGTTTGCAAATGCGGGGGCAACATGGGGCAGTAGGTTTGACGCCGTCGACGAGAAGAATGGCTGGGACCGCGTCATGGACCTGAATGTCAAGGGTGTATTTTTCACAATACAAAAGTATGTTTGATTTCCGGACTTTTCCCCCACCCCCCCCCCCCCCAACCCAAGTATGAGGTTCGTCCAGGATTAGAAGCAAAATCTAATAAGGGGACTTTGAGGGAAAAACAAAGCACAAGCAAAAGAACGGAAGGAACGGAAAGAACCGATTTGTATTCAGGGGAAAAGCAAAAGAGAAAAAAAAGAGGATTAAGGACGTTCGTTGACATTTGAGTTTTTAGATTCGCCCCGTTGCTCACAAAAGCAGCTTCAGTTCAGGATCCCGCGCGGGTGATTGTAACCGGCAGCGTCGCGGGTATCGGCACAGGCTCGGTGGGTGGTGATTCGGCCGCCTTTTCGTACGCGGTGTCGAAAGCTGCAGTGTTGCACCTTGTGCGCAACCTAGCTGTTGAGCTAGGACCGCGCCACGTTCTCGTCACGGGCATTGCGCCGGGCTTCTTCGCGAGCAAAATGACAGATGTGGTGATGCAGCAGGCGGGTGGAGAAGAGGCGCTGGGCAAGGCGACTCCGAACGGACGGGTAGGCCGGCCCGAGGATATTGCTGCTGCGGTCGTGTTTCTGAGTTCCAGGGCGGGAAGCCATGTCAACGGTGACACGATTGTGCTTGATGGGGGGAAGATTCACGGAGGTGTCAAGCTGTAGAGAGTTTCTTCATCACCAACCAACACCATCCATCATCAACTCTTCTTTTCGTCTTCTCTTTTTTTTTTTACTCTTCCCCAATCGGAATCCTCATCCCATGCATACCCACATACCCACTCTTCTCGGGTCTCTTCCACCCCTTCAACACCTCCCTCCTCATCCCCTCCTCAATCTCCAGCACCTCCACCCGAATCGGCCGACACGTACTCTTCATATCCGGCGGTGACGCCTCACCCTCCCCTTCTTTCCCTTCTTCCGCCTGATGCCATCCCCACGCACTCAGATCCCCACCCGGACATGTACTCAACGCACACAGCAAATCCTGCTCTGCGAAGAACGTAATATAACTCTCCTCCGTCGCCGGACTAGCCTCCATAAAGTACCTGCCCTGCTCGTCCAGCCCAGTGACTTGAAATACATTTAGCACGTCGTGGACGTCGAATTCCGTGAGGCCAAAGGGAAGAACAGCCCGCACGAGGTTGGAGTGGCAGTGAAAATCGTACCTCGCGCCTGTGAGCATGTGGGAAACTGCCTCTTTATATCAGCCTCAGACATTTCCCCTTTATCCTTCTTCCACTCTCCTCCCTCCGCACTCCTTTCCGCCAGGGACACATGAAAGGAATTAGAAAAGGGAAAAAATAAATAAAAGTACCATAAGGATCACACCTCGTCCCCAACAAATCATGACATCGTCCATCCCACCTCGTCTTTTCCTTCCCCCTCCCGTCCCTCCCCCCTTGCCTATCCCCTAGCCTACACCCATCATCGATAACCCCGCAAAGCGGTCTCATAAACGGCAAACAACTCCACAGCCGATCCCCCTCGCCAACATGACTACTCTGCAGCTGCCTCGTCCTGGCCGCCCAGAATCTTTCTCTCGGATCATGTGCGTTCCAGATGTTCAAGTCGCCGACTTGTGGGCCCTGGGGCGTGGAGAGGCGGAATAGGGAGCCGGCGGGGACGCGGAAGGCGTGGGCGCTGCGGGGAGGGATGAGGTGTGTGTGGATGGGGTTTAGAGAGGAAGCGGGGAGGGAGCGCAGGGTTGAGTAGAGGGTGGAGGGGGGTGAAGGGGGGAGGTGGGGGAGGTGGGGAAGTAGGCTGGGGTTGGGGGAGTGTCGTTTGGGGGTGGCATTGTGACGGTGGTGAAGTGGTGCGAGGGGATGCGGTTGTGGTGTTTGAGATGGATGGATAGATAAGATTGATACAATGGCCTGTGGTTACATGGGACTAAGTTGGATCTGCAGGATTGGTATTTACGGGATTCAAAGCCGGTGATAACCGTACATGGGCATCCGATGTCGGGGGGGGGGGGGGGTGTTACACAATGGTAGATTGAAGACTCACTTTCTTATCAGGAACAAGGACATACATGAGTACAGAGACGCATATCTGATCCAGATGGTGGATATATTCTAGATACCTAAATCACACTTTTCGACACTGATACAGTGACTTTTTGATAAAACACCCCGTGCTACATGCGATATGGATAAATGCAAATTGGAAATGATAGAACAAATCACAAACGACGTCATACGCTTACACACCCGCACTCTGAACATCAGCCTGCTCACCATTTACCGCAGCCTCCAGCTTATCCACAACAGAAGGGCCATTCTCTTTCTTTGAATCATGTGTTGGACTCGATCCTGGGGTAGGAATTTCCAGAGTATTCGATCGCTTAGGGCGGAAGGGGATAGGCGTTGTTGGTCTCGATGACAAGAACTGTAATCAGTCAGCATCTCCCTCAGTCCCCAAACCCCACCATGAGACTCACCGAAGAAGCAGCGCTCAACATGGCAATCAGAGACGCTTGAACCACATCCTGGTGGATTCCTACACCCCAAACCTTTTGGCTGCTCTGGGCAGCAGTACATCCAATGTATGTCGCTGCTTTAGCATCCTTGCTCGTACCAATAGTATGCTCGTTGTAATCTACAACATCCAGATCGATACCCAGACTCCTCAGCGCATCAGCCAGTGACGACAGAGCACCATTTCCTGAACCGCGAATGCTGTGTTCCTGACCGTCAATCTCGATGACACCGGTAAAGATACGGCGGAGATTCTGGGTGCTGACGGTCCTACCCTCTTGCGGCGGTTGAGGAGTCGCCGAGCGATCGGCCTTGATCTCATAGTCGACAAGAGAGAAGCGGGGGTTGCGCTTGAGATGATACGCCTCTTCGAAAAGAGCCGTGATTTCACTAGGCAAAAGCTCGCGGCCAAGCATATCTGTTTCCTTTTGCACAATCTTGGAAAAGGCAATTTGCAGACCACGCGGGAGGTCGAGTTCGAGCTGGCGCTGAATGATCCAGGCAATACCTCCCTTTCCACTTTGCGAGTTGACACGGATGATAGCTTCGTATGTACGCCCGATATCTTGTGGGTCCAGAGGGAGATATGGGATTTGCCATCGGCTCTCGTTTGTCGCACCGTTCTTCTTGCGCATCTGGAATCCCTTCTTGATAGCGTCCTGATGTGAGCCACTGAAGGCGCACACAACAAGTTGGCCACCATATGGCGCACGAGGATGGACTGGGATCTTGTTACAGCTCTCGACCATATCAATGACTGATTTGAGGTCCGAAAAGTCAATCTTGGGGTGAATTCCCTGCGTGTACAGGTTCAGGCCCAGAGTCACGAGGTCGACATTTCCTGTACGTTCTCCATTGCCAAACAGCGTGCCCTCTACACGGTCCGCGCCAGCCATCTGAGCCAGTTCCGCAGCTGCAACGGCGCAACCACGGTCGTTGTGTGGGTGCAGCGACACGCAAATCTTCTCCCTCTCGCTAATGTTCTTGCAAAAGTACTCAATCTGGTCGGCGTACACGTTGGGCGTAGACATTTCAACCGTAGCTGGCAGGTTGAAGATGATTGGGTTCTCGACTGATGGCTCCCATGCAGCCTTGACCGCCTCGCAGACTTCAATAACAAACTCTGGCGACGAGTCTGAAAACGTCTCTGGAGAAAACTCGTACGACCAGTGGGTGCCAGCCTGCTCAGGATCGTCCTTTGTAATCGATCGCGCGTACTTTGTGCACTCGACAGCAAGAGCAATCGTCTCTTCGTTGTTCATGTCGAAGACAATCTGCTGGAAGCACGGGCTCGTAGCAAGGTACAAGTGGAGGATGGCATTGCGAGCGCCTTTGAGGGAGTCGACGGTTCGGCGAATGAGCTCCTTGCGGCAGGGCGAAAGGACCTGTATGGCGACATCGTCAGGGACTATGCCAGGCGTCTGGATAAGGCGTTGTGTAAAGTCAAAGTCAGTTTGTGACGCCGAGGGAAACGAGACTTCAATTTCCTTGTAGCCAAGCCTGACGAGCATCTGGAAATAGTCCCATTTTTGCGTTCCATCCTAGGGCCCGTGTTAGTGCAGGTTGTTAGGTGCAGCGGATGCAGACATACCATGGGGTCGACTAGACTCTGGTTGCCATCTCGCAGATCGGTCGACAGCCAGCGCGGTGGCTTGTCAATAGTCTTGTTAGGCCATGTCCTGTCCGGCAGATGTAATGGCTTAAACGGCTGGTACTTTTTCCATGGCTCTGCAAGCATCGGCATGTTGAATCGTGGTCGCGCGGATTGCTTTTTTTCCCTGAGTCAAAGTCAACTGACTCACGCTAAGCGGCGATGAATGCAAGTTATCTTTGTATGAAGTCGGATGAGAGAAGACGAAGACGTCAGGAGGGTATGTGGTGAATATATGAAGAGAAAAATGGCAGAGAGGTGAGACTAATTAGTAAAAAAAGTATGGCGGTATGAATCACATTTCAGAAGGAAAAAGAAAAAAGTTTGGTGCTCGGTGATTCAACGCGACTAAGCCGTCCAGTGAATGGCATATGACGATGCGGGGCGCAGAAAATCGCTTGCGGCCTGTGCTCCCCAATTGCGGGGTCCGACTTCGGGCTGGCGTCGATGACAGCCAGCCGGCCAATCCGAGCATATGTATTAATTGTATACGAGATGTCTGAGAAATTGCACGGGACAGAGACGACAAAAACGAACTGCATTGTGCATGGCTAGCTGAGGAGGCACATCGTCCTATGTAGAGACGGGTCGCAGAGAGTGTGTTCACCACTTCGGCCTGCAGGGTGTGTGTGGGAACGTAAATCAAGACAAGGCCGAGCGGGTATTTCAGGACCGCCATCTAGCGCAGACTCCAATTCGACACCAAAGACGCCGCTGGCTACAAAAAATAACGCCAGCATCCATGTACATACACACACACACACACACACACACACCCCACGTCAGTTCACAGTATGTCTATTTCACCGGTTCTGATCCCTGCTTAGAACACAGGCACCCTCAACCCACAGCAATCAATCTCGCTGCCCTTGATCCCAACAGTACGTCCAAAGTAGAGGCTGCCAAACTCCTGCACAAACGCTCGGTCCGCCTCCGACCAGGTGTCGAGTCCCATGCGTGACAGGTCGTCCTGGTCTATAATCAGTGCCTTGCCGTCATCATCGTCGTCGTCGTCGTTGTCACGCTCGCCCTGCTCGTCGGTCTCGATGATTTGCGCCAGAGACTGGATGAGCAGCGAGGACTGGCGGTGAAAGTATGCAATAATTGCTGTTTCCAACGACTGAGAGTACTCGGCCAAGTCGCCAATGAGCTCGCGATCCGCCTCGTGCTCTGCAGTCGCGTATGCATCCCTCTCGCCCGCCGACGCCCACCACATGTAGCCCATGTATGCAAGCCGTGACCAAGTCATGGGCTCAACAACTGTCTCGTCGTATGCTTCGTTGAAGTCGTCGTCGGCGCCTTGGCCATCCACCTCGTCGCGTGACAGTAGCGGCGCCGTGTCGTCGTTTTCCTCGTCTGTATACGCCTCAGGTGCTGTCTTTGACCGGTTGCGATGCTTGTATAGCTCCCTGTGCAGCATTTTGTAGCGTGCAACGTCCCGCTGGCTAGCCTTAATGAGGCTGCCGTCGCTCGTCCGTATCCGTGGCCAGCGTCGCTCTTGCGGCGGCGCATCGTATGTGTGTGGGAGCTCGACGACAATGTCGTACAGCTTAGTCTTGGTAGTGATGATTTCGTCCGTCGTGCATGCCACCCACCCAACCGACGCCTCAGCGCCTGGAGTGTGTCCGCCATGCTTTGGTTTGCTTAGGTCTTCGAGATATGGGATTTCATGCACGCCGACGGAGAAGAGGCAGGACAGTCGTAGCAGCTCTTCTGTGCCGGGGGTGAGGAGCTCGGTGTCGCGTGGTGATATGCTGGAGAGGATGGAGAGATTATACACTGGCAGCGTCAGTGTCATGATCAATCAATGCGCTGTAGAGCATGAAAGACCTACCAAATTCGCAAGCCGTCCTGACAGGCGGAATGCCCACAAACAGTATCCTCTTCCTCAACAGCGCAGCCTGCTGTAGCCGAAACACCAATGGCCCAAACACATCCAGAAACCGCTGTATGGACAGCGCAGGATGGTACTCGGGCAGGCTCTCCTCATCCTTGAGCGCCGCGCTGACCGTCGAAATGGCGCGTTCCCTACTATACTCTTTTCCCTCACCATCATCACTCCCGTACCCCCGCCTTTCAACCTGCTCCCTCCAAAACTCCTCCAACGGCGCCACCGTGTCTGCATCCTCAGCCAGTGCTGCAGCCATCTTCTCCAACCTCCCCGCAAGCAACCACGCTCGTCCCAACCGCCCAAACTCTCCCTCCTTCTTCACAAGCACCCCTACAGAAATGAACTTGGCATTGCGCTCCTCATCCCCGGCCTCCCCCTTCGCAAATGCGCTCAGCCCGGCATATCCCTGATGCGTAAAGTACACGAGATCGCTCTGCACGGAATGCAATCCTGACGGCAACGATTTATATTCCACCGCGTTCTCGAGCTCGATGTCTGGCGTCGCTGTGCGTTTCCAGCTCACGGTGTACCTAGCAAGTTGTCGTGTCAGCGCCCAATAGCTTCATCAGGTAGTGTACTCGGCAATAGGCAAACATGAGGTGAAATGACGTACCCGACTTTTTTGTCGAAGCGGATCAAAAACAGCGCTTCGACGCTCGGCGCGTCCTCGCTGGGCGACTCGGCGGAAGTCGTGCTCGACTCGCGCGAAGCAGACATGGTGATGCTGCTTGCAAAGGGAAATGTGTTGCGCGGCTGCAAGCCCGCTTGATACGACGGGCGCCGGGGGGGGAGGGGGGGCGCGGTTTCGCTTGCGAAGTTTGGGAGCGCGGCGGCCTGGGGAGGGGATCCACTTGCCGTTGCTGCCGGATGACGGGTTGCAACCGTTTTTGGAATGTGCATGTAACAGTGACAGTGGCTGTGTTTATCTATTATCTACAAAGTAGATGTCAAGTCATCATGTGATTTCCCTGTCACCATTAGTCATCCCATATATTTGTCTTTCCTACAAGG